AAGTGCTGGGATTACAAGTGTGAGCCCCTCTGCACCTGGCCAGGACCTGCTTTATTAAAAGAGCTTTTACTCAAGTTGAATGATGAATCATCTGTGTGCAAAAACAAAACAACAACAAAAAAAGAGCTTTTGCAACTTGTATTTTAGAAATACTTTGTGATGATGTCAAGTCGGAATGTGGTACCTTGTATTTGATTAATATCTTTTTGCAGAAACGAACACTGATTTATTTGCTCTGGGAGATAGTGTTAATTGAAATTAAAATGTATAGGTTAACTAAAATGTATAGGATGTTTCCTGGTCCTGGTCATTCAGTTTGAAGTAGCTTTGAATTTTGTAACATGTCTATGGGATATATTGGATTCACGTATGGGGATGTTTTCATAAGGAATACATCCCAGAACCATGCTAGTGATCAGTAGAATTTGAAGGATTTTAAAGCTACACTGTTTTGTTTGGGCTTAGATTTAGGTTGTTGCATGTAATTCAACTGTAAGTACCCAATATTTCTTAAAAACAAAACTTTGCCTGCTTTCTTATCTCAATTTTCTCTAAGAATCCACTATCGGCTGTGGCTTTCACCTGTAATCCCAACACTTTAGGAGGCTGAGGTGGGAGGGTCCCTTGAGCCCAGGAATTTGAGACCAGTCTGGGCCACGTAGCAAGATCTTGTCTTAAAAAAATTAAGCAATTAGCTGGGTGTGCTGGCATGTGCCTGTAGTCCCAGCTGCTCAGGAGGCTGAGGTGGGGATTGCTTGGGCCCAAGATAAGCCAAGATCATGCCACTATACTCTAGCCTGAGTGGCAGAGCAAGATCCTGTCTCAATCAATCAATCAATCAATCAATAGGTAACCATGTAATTTTACATTAATATATTGAGTTTGCCTATCTGATATTAATAAAATATATTCTAATAGGGAGTACATTAATTCTGTGGAATGCTGAAAAGCAGTAGACTTCAATTTCTTAAAAATACAAGTAAATGAAAAGTAGATAGTATGTTATGCTTCTGTTAGGTGCCACAATAAATTGAGCAGGTTAATTCCCAATGAAATGAGGATTTTTGTACACATTTTTAGGCAATGGAGCTGAATTGGTTAAAAGCCTACTGTGTATTAGGCATTTCACATATGTTATTGCAAGAATCAAATGAGATAACTGGCATGAGTTTGACTGCATATCTTAAAATGAAGAGATTGAGACCAGAAAAAGGAATACTCATGTGCTAGAGTTGTCATTGAGACATTGTTTGTCCATTTGCACAGCCTTATCTCTGCATTATGTTCTCCAGTCTTTCAAAGTTGATGCTTTAAAAGAAAGGCAGTTCAAAATGGAAATTTATTAATATTAATGGCTCTTATGAGAGTAGTTCTTGGCTGCCCAGCATCTTGAAATGTTTTTTCATATATTTCAAATGTTTATATATATGTGTGTGTGTGTGTGTGTGTGTGTGTGTGT